AATTTTTTTCTTGTAAACTGAGAGCTCTCCCCTAGTTTGGAAGGAGGATGAGGAAGAAGAAGCTTTAACTTTTGAGCCAGGCCTTGCAAAATGGGTGAACCTGGCTTACACTTCTTATAGTTACTGCCACCTATTAAGCTCCTGTATTTTGTGGATTCTAAGGCACACTTTTTAAAAATAACATTTTAATGTCTCTGAAACCAGGATGCATTTTACCAAAAGTGATGTCATAGTTAATTTAATTAATTGGTAGTGTTTTCTGTTTCTTAGAAGTGTTTAAAATTACGGTGTCATTGTGATCCATGGAGACGTCCATTCACGAGCCATGATATCATGTGCCAGGCTCTCTGCTAAGTCCTGCACACACATTTCTCACTGAATCTCACACCAGCCTGTGAGTCATCAGCTGTCATTAGCCCTGTGTCATAGATGAGGAGTCCAGGCACGATGTAGGTAGGTCACTTGCTCCGGGTCACAGCTAGTAAGAACTCGATTTAGGATTTCGATCTGTGCCCCCGCCAAACATCCAGGAGAATTATACACAGAGCAAGATCAAGTGTGGGGGCGGGAGAGAGGTGGGGACTTCCCAAAGCCCAAGACTAATCAGGTCAAGGGCAACCCCCATTGCCTGCCCACCAGGCTTACACTCTGCCACTTTCACCCAGGACCTGCTCCTGCTCTTAGCCCTAAACCCTGGGATTCTTTTCTCTGTCTCTCAGGAGAGCTCTGGCTCTAACGTCTGTATCGACTCCCTTCCCCCATGGAGAGGAGGGGGCTACGATGAGATTTCAGGGGCAAGGGGGAAACATTCTAAACCCAGCTGGTTTCCCTCACACAATGCAGATTTGCTTAAATGGTACTTAGGATTAGTGCTGGGTTTTGCCTCTTCTGGCAGGCTGGTAATAAACTAATCTCCTCTGAGGCTGCAGGAAGGCAGAATTCCACCAAAGATGGGAGACAGCTTAAGGCTCCAGAGCACAAAACCTGGAAAGTAATTTTCTTATTGACAAGCGCTGCCCACACCTCCTGATATGCAGCCCGCAGCTCCTTCCTGGCGTGGCTGTGGCCTTTAATTCCGTTAATGTGTGACATTCACCCAGGCTGCACGGCTGACAGGCACTCTTGACACTAATACGTGTTCCATGTAGTCCCTGGAGCTCATAAAAGCTCATTATCAGTTCTGAGCCAGTAAATGCAGCTCCTGGCTCAGGTAAGCCTGAGTTCCTCTGCGATGCTCCAGACAGTAGAACAGGGACATCTGCACCAGCCAAGTCCCACACACCTCCCTTTGTCCAGGGCTCTTGGCTTCCCAGGCCGCTGGAAGGTGCCCAGGAAAGCCACTCCACAGGCAGAGCCCTGGGTTCAAATTTACATCTGAGATAAGGGGTTCCTTCTGTCCTGCACTGTAAGGTGACTCAATCCAGCATTTGGGGAAGGCAGTCTGTCAGCACTACCCGGCCTCTCCTCTGCCCACTTCTAAGTGTCTTGGCTTTGGAATTGCATGAACATTTCTGCATCAAGATGGGCACCCAGGGGATCATTGCAGCAAGGCTCTTGAGGCCAGAAATGCAGCCGTCCAACAGAGCCACGGTGGGAAATACACAAATGGAGCTGTCTGACAGAGCCACGATGGGAACACAAATGGAGCTGTCTGACAGAGCCACGGTGGGAAATACACAAATGGAGCTGTCCGACAGAGCCACGGTGGGAACACAAATGGAGCTGTCCGATAGAGCCACGGTGGGAACACAAATGGAGCTGTCCGACAGAGCCACGGTGGGAAATACACAAATGGAGCTGTCCGACAGAGCCACGATGGGAACACAAATGGAGCTGTCCGACAGAGCCACGGTGGGAACACAAATGGAGCTGTCCGACAGAGCCACGGTGGGAAATACACAAATGGAGCTGTCCGACAGAGCCACGGTGGGAAATACACAAATGGAGCTGTCCGACAGAGCCACGGTGGGAAATACACAAATGGAGCTGTCCGACAGAGCCACGGTGGGAAATACACAAATGGAGCTGTCCGACAGAGCCACGGTGGGAAATACACAAATGGAGCTGTCCGACAGAGCCACAGTGGGAAATACACAAATGGTAGATAAACTGTGGCCCACAGAGTACTATGGGATACTGTGCAGCTATGAAAAGGACTCAAAAAGATCCTTTTTGGACATGATATCATTGGCAAGTGATGTTGTTGAATGTGTGTGGTAAGATCGCATTTTTGTGGCCAGACGCAGTGGCTCATGCCTGTAATCCCAGCACTTTGGGAGGCTGAAGTGGGGGATTACGAGGTTGGAGTTTGAGGCTAGCCTGGCCAATATGGCAAAACCCCATCTCTACTAAAAATACTAAAATTATCTGGGTGTGGTGGTACACACCTGTAGTCTCAGCTGCCGGGGAGGCTGAGGCAGGAAAATGGCTTGAACCCAGGAGCGGGAGGTTACACTGAACTGAGATTGTGCCACTGCACTCCAGCCTGGGTGATAGAGTGAGACTCCGTTTCAAAAAAAAAAAAGATCCCATTTTTGTAAAAGGTCACACTGCTGTGTGCTCACATAAGTACATGCTTATACACACATGCATACATGCATTTGTTTGGGTAGAATAAAGTCTAGAGAGTCTTACTCCAGAGTCTTTGCAGTGGTTTTGTCTGTTAAACAGGATGACTAGTAAGAAAGCACATGTACTTTTGTAGTTAAAAATGAAAAACTTATCTATATCTTTATCTGTCTCTATAAATAACTTGCCCAGGGTCATACCTATATATATGCATATATGTGTGTATCTATGTGACTTTATGGGTTTATACATGTTACAGATTCCTCTGATTGTAGCCTTAGTCTGGTTCATGATGCATGAGGCCCCCCTGTGCTGACACTGCCTGGATGGACTCTTGAGGCCCAGATGGCCAAATAAAATGAGGTCCTGTCCTCCAGCTAATCCATTTCCCATCAGTTAACGGGAGTTCTGAGACTCCCTTGCATGCATGAGCTGCACTGACGCTGGGGTCTGTGGGGTAGAGCTTGAACTCATCGTCTTCCTGCTTACACCCTGTGTGATGTTTTGATTTGGCAATGGCACCAGGCTTGACTTCCCATGGCCAAAGTTCTTGTCCCAGCTCTGCCTCATTTCAGTGATATTACTTTGGGCAAGTTATTTAACTCCTCTGAGCTCACATTCCTCGTTCCTGATGTGGTGACACTTTCTCCTGGGGTTGTACGGGATGTCAGGATTATCATCATTATCACTCGAGAGACCTGAAACTTGATCAGGGCTTCCACTGTACAGCTAGTGTCTGAGGGCAGGAGTCTTGGAGGGGAGAGGCTGGGGAACTTAGCTTTCTTCCCTGTGCTCTGGAGGCTGTAAGTTTTGCTCTTATTTCTCAGCTGTGCATGTGACCAAGACCATCCCTCAGGACTGGCCTGTCTCTGCTGGCAGGTATGTGGCCTGGACATGGTGAATTTGATCCTTCTCTGGTGACCTGGGGACTCTTCATCAAACTGACAGAAAGGAAGGGTTGGAGAGGCTGGACTTCTAACCCCACTGGCATTCTGGAACGGAGTTCCTTTTTCACCACTGAGACTTTCCTTCCCATTACTTATCTTTTCATGGATAGCAGACCTTGAAAGTGTTGGGTTTGCCCAAAGAGCCTGCATTCATTAGGCAATGATTAATTCTTTTTCCTATTTTCAAAATGACTCAGAAAGGCTTTTTTTCAGCCTGAGGAAACTGGAATTCCCACAGCGAGTTGATAATATTCTAGCTAGAAGCAAAGAAACATAGTGTGATGTTTTGATTAGCATGTTCAATGGCATTGCATGGATGTACAGGCTCCAGGCGGACTTGGAAAGATTAAAAATATGCCCCCATTCATAGGCTCTGGAGACACCATCCTGGGAAGCTTTGTGGGGCTAGTGCTTAGTCCTGCCCTTCCAGCTGTATGAGTCCAGTCTCACACTGCTATAAAGAAATACCCGAGACTGGGTAATTTATAAAGAAAAGAGGTTTGATTGGCTCACAGTTCTATAGGCTGTACAGGAAGCATGGCAGCATCTGCTTCTGGGGAGGCCTCAGGAAACTTGCATTTCTGGCAGAAGGGGAAGCACGCGTGGTGGCATAGTAGAGACAGGAGCAACAGAGAGAGGGGAAGGTGCCCCACACTTTTAAATAACCAGATCCCATGATAACCCACTATCATGAGAATGGCACTGAGGGGATGGTGCTAACCCACTCATGAGAAACTGTCTCTGTCAGGGTTACTATTTGTGGGGGTCTGTCTTTCAGACTTTGACTTAGCAATGGATGAATAAAGTACACTAACATACAGATATTATGCTTTACTAGTTTGGCTGAGGGTCTGTGGCTGCTTACAGGCTCTTTGGAGGGTGCTGTAAATAGTCGCAACTGCTGGCTTTCTTTAGCTAGTGAGACTTGCATTTATTTAGTAAACTTTCATTGACAAAGGCTTGAGTCAATACTACTAGAGGTTGAAAGATTAAAGGACAGGTTCTGATGCTTAAAGCAAATACTATTAGAAGGTGATATCTTAGGTTTGACTTCTTGAGAGGGCTATCTGGCTTAAAGGTTAGTTTTAAGACTACATGAGTAAGTTAGTTAGGTAAACTTCTTTACATACTTTAGCTATTTGCTTTACTTACTAACTAAATGTATAGGGGATTTAGGCTGCTTTCAGCTGAAACTTCTACTGAAACTATGAAAAAACATATCTCCGTGATCCAATCACCTCCCACCTGCCTGGATGGACATCTGAGGCCCCACCTTCAACACTGGGAATTTTGATTCGATGTGAAATTTGGTGGGGACACATTTAAACTGTATCACCAGCCATGGGTGTCCTGTCTGGCTTCTGTGCTTGCAGTGATGGAAGTGGGGAGTGTCCTACTTTGGAGAGCAGGAGCACCATGTGGACTGAAATGGTCCCCAAGGAATCCTGCCTTTTTGAAATGTGTTTCTCTCTCTTCTTTCTCTAGAGTATATCTGGAAGCTGCTGTCAGGAGGACACTGTAAGAGAATCTTGGCACCCCTGGGCCCAAAGGGAAAGACACCAGTGGAAAGAGGTATGATGTAGCAACATGGCAGGGTAGCATCTTCACTTACTCAGACAAGAGGGTCTGCTCTTCTCTCTTCTCCTCCTGCCCTACAAACCACCAGTTCTGTTTGAGAGGGCTCTCAGCTCTTGCCCAGGGGGTAGAGGACAGGAGAAGGTGGCTTCACTCTTGTCTTCACCTCTAGACATTTGCTCATAGATGAGGGCAAAGGGGCCACCTTGGTGCAGGAAATGAGGGTGGATGTATGGCAGAGAGTGAGCTCTTCAAGGAAGAGTGGAGCTCCTGGGGGTTCCAGGCAGGGTTATAAGGGCTTGTGGAATCTGTGTTAAGGACCCTTCCCTGAACTCAGCCTCCTCCATACCCACCACAGTCTTGAAACTGTGAGACAGATATTGTTTCCTATGGTGATTACCATCCCTCTCCCCTCGATTCTCTTTTGGATAAAGTCTAAATCCACAAGCACTAGGATCCATCACCACATTACATGGTGAAACTGAGAACAGAAAAGCCTTAGTCTGCTTCGGAGGCTTTGGGAAGTCCTTCTTGAACTGACCATGATCCTGGGACTGGTGATGGGCTGGGTGGCCTCATGGAAGCTTCCTGGATAAAGAGCTAGGATGTCTGTCCTCTGAGCAGCCTCCGCCACCATTGTGACTCATAAGTCATTTCCCTCATTGAGCCTCATTTTCTCATTGTAATATGAGGCAGCTATGATTTGAATCTCTGTTCCAGCACTCACGCTCTCAATTTCTGGGATTCCAAAAGTGGAGCTGAGCTGGAAGAAGTGACAGGTCAGTGGTTGGGAGGTTATGTAAGGCCATAGAGAGGAGAGGGGATTTGAAAACTCCAAGGAGATCTGATTACCAGTCTTGGTCAAAGGATAATGGCTCTGATCCTTGGTGGTAAATCACAGGATCTGAGGTGCACTGGGTTTGAGTCCCTGCTGACTAGAAGAGAAACCAGCAATATGATGGAGTGCTTCATGTGTCAGGCACGGTGTGATGCTCACTCACTGCACCATCCCATTCCATCCTCTCAACTGCCTGTGATCTTGCCACTATGATCACCTCCATGTTATAGAAGAGAAAAACAGGCCTCAGAAAAGTTGAATGATTTGCCCAAGGTCACACAGCACTGAGTAATGTCGTCGAGATTTGAATCCACTGCCTGAACTGCCCTACAATGCTTGTGTCTTTTGCTTAAGTCTGTGATTTGAAGCTTAAGATTTAAACTAATTAGCCAAATCATTTTTCTGAAGTTCCATTTCCCATAAAAACATAAAAATGGTTTGTTTCCCTGTCCTAGACTTTTTTTTTTTTTTTAATTTTGGGCATCTCATGCAACCCCTGCAGGTCTTGATTTTCTGATCTCTAAAATGGGACAGTAACACCTACTCACAGGTTGCTTTGGGGAAAAGACAAGGAAGACTTGGGAAGCTCCTTGTATTGGATCTTGTACATGCGCCCTTCATACCTGCTCCACCTGCTTCCCCTGCCTGGGGCTGTTGGCAGGGTGCATGGGTCATGAAGACTGTAAAGGGCTGTACCACTGCCTAATAGAATTTTCTATTTCAGCTGCCTCTATGCCCATAGTCGGAAAGCACATGTCCACTTTCTTAGTCACCAATCTGATGGTTCACTCTCCCTTTCAGAGTGTGCCTCTGGCTGCCCTGGATTATTCTAGGCTGGAATCCAAGACAGGGTGGCCAGCTCCCAGGGACAGATAAAACAGGGCCAGGCTGAGGCCTTCATGGACAGTGTGGGAGGAGCAGTGAGGCCTGGGGCCTGCTCCGGCTGTCCGTCACTGACAGTGTCTGTGTCCCACAGCTCACCCCACCAGCTGCCAGGATCATAATCTTAATTGTAAACCTCCTGGCAGCGGCTGCCCTGATCCCCACAGGAAGTGGTTGCCTTATCACAGAGCCTGAATCCTGCCTGGTTTTCTTAATCTGGAGAAGGCACTGAAGCAAGTCAGAAAAAGCTCCCGTCCATCAGGACATGATGGGCCTCAAGCCTTGGTGTATAAGAGGAAAGAATCCCTTTAAGTGCAGAGCAAAGCAGCAGGGATGTTGTTGTTCTGGTTTACTTTCAGGAGGAGACCCCGAGGAGCAGAGCTATTTAGCCTTGCCACTCTTGGTAGCTAGGAAACAGATAAACATTATAGCATCACAGGGAAAATATAAAGACAACCATAAAGCAACAGGCAGAGAGGTAAGCACTGTCGTGGACAAGTTTTGCTGGGGTTTTGGAGTTAGTGACTTGATCCCCCCCAGCCTCAGTTTTCCCATTTGTCAGATGGGCAAAGGTCGTGTACCCCACTGGGTGGTTGTAAGGTTAAGGTGACCACTATGGGAAGTCCCTGTTTTCTTTGAACAATGGCAGCCCCCTTGGAATAGTACAACCTCCCAAGGTGACCTCTTGGGAAGAGGGCCAGGCTCTTGGGATGTAAGAGCTGGGTGTTTGTAACCAAACAGTGGGGTTACCCTGGAGACACATACCTGCTTTTGTGTGAGTTCTAAAAAAGGGCTGTGAGAGGGACCTGGGTTGTGTCAGCTCTCTGTCCTGATGTGCTATCACTTGGAGCCAACTCAGGTATGAGCAGTTCATCCCAACCCTCTACCTGATGGCTGACACTTCACTCACAGCCATCTTTACTGGACCCTTTCTGTAGGTAATTGTTAATCCTACCCACACCCCAGAAGGCAGGCATTAATAAGCTTTTTAAATGACTTCAGGCTTCATGTCTAAAATGCAGCAAGGAAGGACCCAAACACAGGGTTCCTGGCCCAAGGACAGTGTGTTTGTGGGAGCTCTTCACATCACCCTCTGCACCTAGAGATACTCTCTGTTCCTGTGGTGGCACCCTTCTCAAATTCTCCACCTAGCCTTGCACTAAGTGTGGAGCTCAGGCAGAAATGAAAGTCTTCTGATGTTTTTATCTCCTCAGCCTGCCCTCTGAGGCAGGCTGAGTGAGAGAAACCAATTTCTATGGATTCCCCAGGCTCCAGCTTATCTATTTTTTTTGTTATTGTTGGTCAAGCTTTTGATGTTCTATCTAAGAATCCATTGCCAAATTTGAGGTCATGGAGATTTATTCCTGTGTTTTATTCTGAGAGTTTTATTTAGCTCCTATATTTGGATAATTGATCATTTTTTGAGTTAATTTTTATATACAGTGTGAGGTAGGGATCAGTGTCCTAGTGTATGTGAATATCCAGTTGTCCTTGCACTATTTGTTGAAGAGACTATATTTTCTCCAGTATATTGCCATTACTCCTTTGTCAAATTATTGACATATATATGTGGCTCTATTTCTGGGCTGTCTGTTCTGTGCCAGTAATCTATTTATCTGTACTTTTGCCAATACCACGCCATTTTATTAATCTATCTTTATAGTAAATCTTAAAGTTGGGTAGTGTCAATTCTTTCAACATTGTTCTTCTCTTTCAATTTTGGGTCAGCTAGTCTAGGTTTTTTACTTCTGCAAATAAACCTTAGAATCAGTTTGTTGATAGTCATAAAACAACTTGCAGGATTTTGATTGGATTGTCTTGAATCTATAGATCAAGTTGGGAAGAACTGACATCTTCACAGTATTGAGCCTTCTTATCTTCGAACATTGACTATCTTTCAGTGTTTTTCATTTATTTACTTCTTTGATTTCTTCAGTATAGTTTTGCAGTTTTCTTCATACAAATCTCATACATATTTTGTTAAATTTATTCTTTTTTTTAATTTTTATTTTTTACACCCCCACACTTTCCCAAATTTATTCTCAAGTATTTTATTTCTTTGGGTGTTAATAGGAATGGTTTTGTGTTTTTAAATTTCAAATTCTGCTTGCTCATTGCTGGTAGATAGGAAAGCAATCACTTTTGTATATTGACCTTGTATCCCACAACCTTAGTATAATTGCTTATTTGTTTCAGGATTTTTTTAGTCATTTCTTTAGGATTTTCTACATAAACAATTATATTTTCTGCAAACAAAGGCAGTTTCACTTCTTCCTTCTCAATCTGTATGCATTTTCTTTTCTTGTCTTGTTACAGTAGCTGTGACTTCCAGTATGATGTGATAAGAAGGGCCATTCTTGCCTTATTCCTCATCTTAGCAGGACAGCCTCAAATTTCTCATCATTGAATTTGATATTAACTATCAGTGTTTTGTAGATGCTCTTTATCAACTTGAGGAAGATCCCCTCAATTCCTAGTCTGCTGAGAGTTTTTATCATGAATAGGTATTAGATTTTGTTAAATGCTTTTTCTGCATTTGTTGATATGATCATGTAATTTTTTTATTAGATTGTTGACATGATAAATTATATAATTTAATTTTTTAATATTAAACCAGCCTTGTGTACCTGGAATAAATCTCACCTGATCATGTTATATAAATCCTTTTATACATTCTTGGGTTTAATTTGTTAATATTTGTTGAGGATTTTTGCATTTACATTATTGAGAGATATTGGTCTGTAGTATTTTTTTCACATAATGTTTATTTTTTAGTTTAGGTATAAGCATTATGGCCTCACAGAATGAGTTAGGTAGTATTCTCTCCACTTCTATATTCTGGAAGAGATTATTGAGAATTGGTGTAATTTCTCCTGTAAGTGTTTGGTAGATTTCACCAGTGAACTCACCTGGGCCTGATGCTTTCTCTTTTGCAATGTTTTAAATTATTGATTAGATTTCTTTAATAAATATAGGCCTATTAAAATTGTCAGTTTCTTTTTGTGTGAGCTTTGGCAGATTGTGTCTTTCTAGGAATTGGTACATTTTATCTAAGATATCAAATTTGTGGGCATAAACTTATGCATATTTGTGGGCATAGGGTTGTGTTTTTATCCTTTCATGTCTGTGGTACATTTCCATGTCTATGAGAACTGTAGTGATGTCCTCTTTTTCATTTCTGATATTAGTAATTTGTGTCTTTTCTGGTTTTTCTTAGTTATCCTAGCTAGAATTCTATTGATTTTATAGGTCTTTTCAGAGAACCAGCATTTAAATT